GCTGCACACACAGTAAACTTAGGGGTATTTTTCCCTTTTGGATAACGTTCAGGAGAGTTTTACGGGATTCAGCAGCCTGACCAACAGCAGTCACCCAGCCCTGTGTCACCATCTCAGGAAACTGAGCTACGGCCCTTGGAAGGTACCCAGTGGGACTCGCAGAAAGGCAAGTACTTTTCATCACCTTGGACAATGGGTACCACTTTTGCAATTACTCTTACAAGGAGAAACTATGACAGAGTTTGCCCCTCCTCTCCTCTTTTTCAACTGAGGGACAGTCCTAAGGCGTTTGCAAATGTCATAAAAATACTTAGTTTTTCTTCTTATTTGTGTGTATGGGTATCACACACATGGTGACTACCTGCATCAGCTGTCAATGAAAAAGGTGCAAATGAGCTATTAACCCCACATGTACTTTCCAGAGATGCATAACACTGGTTTCTCTTTTGATTTTTCTTCACAGTCTAGATTTATGTAGTGTAATTTGAACAATCCTAAGATTTTTTTTCACTTTATAGTACTGAGTGACCAATTTTGCAATTCTAAACTATTCCACAGAATTTGGCAGATTCTTGGTTTTCTCATTTCTACATTTAAAATGCATGTTATTATAATAGATTTGATGACTTTTTTTCTGGCACATGTTTATATATGTTTAGGTTACAGATGAGAGAAACAGTAAGAAATATCTGGGTTTAAGGCACATCCTTATTTTTCATAAGGTACATTCTGAGGAAAGCATAGAAAGATTTACCCAAAGCAGTTCTTTAATTGAGTTCTCTGTGGCTTTTAAGTTCTGTGATGACAGGCGCCTTGAAAATACCATCGGTTTGGTCAGGTAGCATTCATAAATATCATTCATGAAAAGTGAAAAGCTGAAGAACAAGCAGGTAACTTGGTGCTGGTTCTTTACTTTGGAGCCAGTGTCTTCTTTACTCTGTGTACAATGGTATTTTCTTAGAGGGCATGAGTGTTATAGCTCAGGTAGTGGAGTTACTCCAGGCAGGATCCAAAGAACAGCCAAAAGAGAGAGAAGAATATAGAAAGGGAGTTGGAAGGCAACTGCACTGAACTCAAGACAAGCTCACAGACGTGGGAGGAAGCCAATGGCAGTGCCATTCCCAGTGCTTAAACACCAGCAGCTGAAACATTCTTTCTGATGCTTTCACAGGTGACAGCAATACAATTCCTCCAGAACTGACCACCACAAGTAGAGAAGGAAAGACTACGGGAAGGAGAGTACCAAAAGAGAGTATTTCCAGAACAGGTTGCAGATCCTTTGGAAATGGAGGTAAGATACTTTTGCTTGGAGTTCTTATGGCTAACCGTTACCTCATGAATGACGTAACTGTCTATATTTGGTTGGGCTATCCACAAATAAAATGGTTTTTGTTTTTAGGCTTGTCTTCCAGCATTAAGTCAACAGTATTATTTTTTTTTCCCTTTTAGGAAGCCACACTGCCAGCCCCAAAGTACAGCCCAGTCACCAAACAAATGGTCAAAGTAACGATGGTGAAACTCCTTCTCTTCCACATGAGAGAGAAACCGGGAGAAAGCCTTACTTCTGTTCTCCAGAACCACGAAGATCAGCATATGTAGTCTACCGTTCTGTCACTGTCACCCAAGAACCAAAGTTCACCGGACCTAGAGGTGAGTTCCTGCTTCAAAGGGAGGATTCTTAAAATGCCTCTAATACACCTGCCTGTATTGTGCTACAGTCACTTGTGTCCCTGGAGGTAGAATATGAAGATTTATGGTTAAAGATGAGCAAGAGTAAATTTGATCCAGTGTGACTTTCACAAGTAGGTTGCAGCAGTACACACACAAAGAAATGTAAAGATTTTATGATTGTTTTCATAATTTAAACTTATTTTTCATCTTCAAGAAAAATGTCCTTGGATTGTAATCAAGCTGCTTTTCTTGAATTACATGCAGTGTAAATTTCTGCAATTTATTATTGTTTCTTCACATTATTTCTGTTGGACAGAGCACTGAGTTCATTCTTCCTGCCATTCATGCAGGATGATATTTGGTGACAATCGTTCGACACTGCCCCACACGACATCTTTGTCTCTAAACTGGAGAGACATACATTTAATGAATGGATCAGCCAGTGGATAAAGAATTGGCTGGATGGCTGCACACAGAGAGTTGTGGTCAATGACTCAACATGCAACTGGAGACCAGTAATAAGTGGTGTCCCTCAGGGGTTGGTGTTAGGAATGATCCCTGTTCAACATCTTTGTTGGCGACATGGACGGTGTCCACGTTTGCCAACGGCACTAAGTTATGTGGGTTGGTTGACAAGCTGGAGGGAAGGGGTGCCATCCAGGGGGAGTTGTGGGCCAATGCCAACCTCATGAAGTTCAACATAGCAAAGTGCAAGGTTGCTGGGTCAGGGCAATCCCAGGCACAGCTACAGGTTGGGCAGTGAAGTGATTCAGAGCAGCCCTGCGGAGAAGGACTTCAGGGTATTAGTTGAAAATGAGCCGGAAGAGTGCGCACACACTCAAGAAAGCCAACTGTATCCTGGGCTGCATCAAAAGGAGCGTGACCAGCAGGTCAAAGGAGGTGATCCTGCCCCTCTACTCTGCTCTTGTGAGACCACACTCGGAGTATTGTGTGCAGTTCTGATGTTCTTAACATAAAAAGGACATGGAATTGTTGGAACAAGTCCAGAGGAGGGCCACAAGGATGATAAGGAAGCTTGAGCTGTATGAAGACAGGCGGAAAAAAACTGCAGCTGTTCAGCCTGGAGAAGAGAAGGCTGCATAGAGACCTCATAGCAGCCTTCCAGTATCTGAAGGGGGCTGTGGTGGTTTAAGCCCAGCCAGTTCTAAGTTGCTGGCTGGGCTTAAACCATAATGGGCCTACAAGGATACCAGAGAGGGACTTTTCATCAGGGATGGTAGCAATAGGACAATGGTTTTAAACTTAAATGTTAAGGTTAGATGTGAGGAACTAGTTCTTTGAGGGTCATGAAGCACTGGAACAGGTTGCCCAATTAGTGGTGAATGCTCCATTCCTGGCAGAGTTCAAGGCCAGGCTGGACAGACCCTTGGGTGACATGGTCTACTTTGAGGAGACCCTACCTGTGGCAGAGGGGTTGGAACTAGATGATCTTTAAGGTCCTTTCTAACTCTAACCATTCTGTGATTATATGATTCTATGTTTATATGATTTTTGTCATACCAACAATTACCATTTTTGCTACTGTTTTGTGGTGTGTTTTTTTTTTCAGCAGTTCCTGAGCCATCTGTTCAGAAATGCTCCAAAGGAAAGAACGAGCCTGGCAACAATAGGAGATTTTGGACACAAACGGACATCTACGGTAATACCGCAGTGTTGGGTGTAAACTGAAAATTTCAGTTTTAGTACGGAATTAATAATGTGAATTAATGCAATTAGTCTGGAACTAAGAGAAAACAAGGGTACTTACACATAACATTGCCTTGCATCTAAGTACATTCACAAGCATGGATAAAACAGGAAGACCGAATTATGCATTAGTTTCCTCTAAAAGCAGGTTGCAAATCGTTTGGTAATGGAGGTAAGATACTTTTGCTTGGAGTTCTTATGGCTAACCGTTACCTCATGAATGACGTAACTGTCTATATTTGATTGGGCTATCCACAAATAAAATGGTTTTTGTTTTTAGGCTTGTCTTCCAGCATTAAGTCAACAGTATTATTTTTTTTTCCCTTTTAGGAAGCCACACTGCCAGCCCCAAAGTACAGCCCAGTCACCAAACAAATGGTCAAAGTAACGATGGTGAAACTCCTTCTCTTCCACATGAGAGAGAAACCGGGAGAAAGCCTTACTTCTGTTCTCCAGAACCACGAAGATCAGCATATGTAGTCTACCGTTCTGTCACTGTCACCCAAGAACCAAAGTCCAGCGGACCTAGAGGTGAGTTCCTGCTTCAAAGGGAGGATTCTTAAAATGCCTCTAATACACCTGCCTGTATTGTGCTACAGTCACTATCTGCCTGGAGGTGAGAAATATGAAGATTTGTGTGTAAAGATGAGCAAGAGTAAATTTGATCCAGTGTGACTTTCACAAGTAGGTTGCAGCAGTACACACACAAAGAAATGTAAAGATTTTATGATTGTTTTCATAATTTAAACTTATTTTTCATCTTCAAGAAAAACGTCCTGGGATTGTAATCAAGCTGCTTTTCTTGAATTACATGCAGTGTAAATTTCTGCAATTTATTATTGTTTCTTCACATTATTTCTGTTGGACAGAGCACTGAGTTCATTCTTCCTGCCATTCATGCAGGATGATATTTTCCATCAACTTCTCTCCATCTTGGAAATATGCCCCTATCCTCCTGATCGACCATACTATGTCATAAATTTGGCAGGAGCTGACAGGTGGCATTCCGAGTCCTGGGTCTTCCTTTTTGGGTATCTAGTTTGGATGCAATCATAATTGTACATCTTTTGCTTTATTTTTCATTTTCTAATAGAGCTTCACATAATCAAGTACATAATTTGAAGTTTATGTGCCTTTCTCCCTGCCCTGTCCATCATTACTCTGGAAAATTGCTTGTTTTATCTGTCACTTCATAAAAATTAGTAAATAAAGTATTTCAATAACCCTAAGTTAAAAAGTCATTTCCTCTAAACAGTTTTGGTCACCTATCTTAAACCATGTTGAATCTCCATCTCGAGGTGCCTCCAGGTCTTTCCAGTGAAGGGAACTTCTTTCATATGGAGAAGATCAATAAGGTTAAGGGGAAGGAATCCCAAGATCAGTACTCTATCCCAGGGACTAATAGTTGTGGGGTTTTTCTTTTTGCTTTTAATGTTTGCTTTGATAAAATGTGGACAGATGGGTGCAGAAATTACAGAGAGATCATTCTTAATGTGAAGACTACATCTTATCAAGCTTCCAGGTTAAAAAAGGATACAGCGTGTCTAAAACAAGGTGATCAGCATTATTCTCATAACAGCAACCGTTACCATTTTGGTTACTGGGTTGTTTTTTTTCATCAGTTCCTGAGCCATCTGTTCAGAAATGCTCCAAAGGAAAGAATGAGCCTGGCAAAAATAGGAGATTTTGGACACAAACAGGAAACTATGGTAATACCGCAGCATTGGGTGTAAAGTGAAAATTTCAGGTTTAGTATGGAATAAATAATGTGCATTAATGCACTTAGTCTGGAACTAAGAGAAAACAAGGGTACTTAAGCATAACGTTGCCTTGCATCTAAGTGTGTTCACAAGCAGAGATAAAACAGGAGGACTGAATTATGGATGTGTTTCCTCTAAAAGCAGCTGATGCCTTTTGGAAGATTTTGAGTACAGGAACATGCACTTAGTTAAAGTCCCTGACAACCATGGCAGGGTGTCCTGGGTTCAGCTGTAGCAGTAATTTTTTTCTTTTTCTTAGTATCTGGTGCAGTGCTGTGTTTTTGACTTTCAGCCTGGGAACAACATTGATATCACTGATGTTTTTAGTTCTTGCTAAGTAGTGTTTACTCTGACCAAGGACTTTTGAGTCTCATGCTCTGCCAGGGAGGAAGGGAGGCTGGGAGGAAGCAGAGACAGGACACCTGACCCAAACTAGCCAAAGGAGTATTCAATACTACAGTATGTCATGCCCAGTGTATAAACTGGGGGGAGTTGCCCAGAAGGCCCAGACTGTTGCTCGGGTCAGGCTGGGTATCAGTTGGCGAGTGATAGCAGCAGTGGCTTGTGTTATACCTTAGTTACTGGACTGTTCTTACGTCAACCCATGGGAGTTCCATTTTTTCGATTCTCCTCCTCATCCCTCGTGGAGCTGTGGTTCTGAGCTACCGGCTGGACTTAAACCATGCCTCGCTTGGAAGGTCCTCAGAGCCTCATGGAAAGCCTGCAAGATTACAAAACTCGTTGCAAAGAGAACTAGAGAGAGAGAGATTCTGTACTTAATCCTAGCTTCTCTTTTAGAGGTGCTACAGGACTCACCCAATACATTCATGGGTACTTCAGATAACATAGTATTTGTAATAATGTAGTATCTGATTCACCTGTCAGGCTAAGAAAGTCTTCCCAGAAAGTGCATCTCATATGAGGAAACCATGTCTATGCTCTTCCTACAGACAAACACACTTCAGGATCCTATAATGCACCAACTTCAAGGAAAAGAAATCCACAGGCAAAAACAACCATTCAGGTAACTGCTTGGTAGAGATTCTGACCATCTGGTCTTTTCCCACCTAGAAACCAAAATTTCACAGTAACAAATTCCCCTACCAAATCTCAAAGATTCCAGGCAATGCTGAGCAGTCTGAAAGAACAGTTAAGAGTTGTATTGATTTGCAGACGTGAAATTTGGCCTGTAGAACTAACCCGTGATTCCTAATTTTGGACAGTATTCCTGATCTGAAGGCAAAAAGTGCCTTTAAAGTGAGGAGCTACAGGAGGGGGTTTGACTTGTAGCACTGGACAAAGCACAGCAGAGACACTGCATGACTGTGGTCTATTTGTCTCTGACTGCTTGTGAAGCATCTCCAACAGCCGACCGCTGATCAGCCACGGTCCAAATTCATGAAAGGAATCAGGCTAGTAAACATTCACAGGGTGCCCTGAGGGCCCAAAATTAATAGATTTTACAGCTGAGCAGAAAGCAGAGAAGACAACTTGACCTTGTCTCCTGTGTTGACGGTTTACCACTTAAACTGCTTCTGAAAGAGCGTATAGTTTTGCCTTTTGAAAGTATGCACAAAATGTTCTTTGTTTCTATTTTGACAACAGCACCAAGAAGACATGGAAGTGAACCGAAAAGGAAAACGGTATGAAGACAGGAGGGAGATGAAGAAAGTACTTGAATTCAGAAGAAAAATCTGAATTGAAATAAGAAAATTCTCAAATGTAAAAACCAAAGATGATAATATTGCAAATTCAAATAATAAGATGCAGCAAGTACATGCGATGTGTGAAAACTGTTCAGAAACTTTGAAAGTGTGCCCTGAATTGTCACCTATAAAGTTCATAAATATATTGAAGAAGTTTAATCTGTTAAAAAAGTTTGTTCCGTGAATTAATTTTTGCAAAGCTTTTTAATGTGTAATTAGTATTATGAATAAAAACAATTAGTTTTACTTAGCAATTGCAGAGGACTTAATGTTAATCGCAACAATACTGCCTTCCAGGAAGTAGCTGTTTTGGTGTGAAAACCAGATTCTTATATGGTTTAGTGGTTTGGCTGATGTTCTGGGGCTCAGTCAGAGTTTGATCTTGAGATTTTGCCATTTTAGCAGAGCAGCAGAACTGTGGACATCACTGTAGTACATGATGCCTTGCAGCAATATTTGATACAGTGTATGCCCTAGGCAATTTAAAATCTCAATTCTAAGGGATGCTGTATCCAGTCACATAAGACCTCTTACCCCGCCTCCTCTCTGACAGTGCCGCGAGAGGTTCTCAGATGATCATCCTTTCTGTTTGACAGCAGAATTGAGAAATCGAGTTGCTTCTTGGGGGGAAATCCTGTAAGATCTCAAATGGAGTCACTTTTCTCTGGATGGGATCTGCAGGCTTTTCTGGGCATTGGTCAGATTTGATGTTGGACAATTTGGGGCTGCCAGCATCTGATCTGATCTGATTATCTGTGGTATCCTCCTGGTCTTTTTGGTGTGCTCTCCAAAAAAAGCAGCATCGTAATAGCTGCTTTATAGAATCTGAGCATCATTCCAACTGAGATCATAAAGAAACAGCACCTTCTGGTGCAACGTAACCCACCTCCCCAGCCTGAGAAGCCAACCTACCAAGCCAAAGTCCAAAGAAAATAGTTCTCAAGTCTCTTAACACGCCACTATTCTCAGCAGAGTATCGGGCTAAGTGTCAGACGCAGCTCAAGGGAAAAAAACAGAAATGCAGGAGGAGAATGACTTGGCCTTGAGAGCAATACTTGTCTGATCATGGATTGTTGTGGAAGCAGAGCCTCATGACAGTGTCTATTCCTTTTTCACTGTATCTTCCTTCAGAGAAATTACAGATACAGTTCTCTTTAGTCGTTACTTGCTCAAGCTGGCAGGTCACAGATAGTACGAAACACCTCATCATTGTACAATAAATACACAGTTCAACAATGTATTAACAGTTCCTGTGGGGTGTTTACTACTCTCGGCTGGCATCAGAGGAACAGGAAGGGATCAGTGGGTTGTATGATCAAATCCTTATATCAGATTTTCCTGTAACACCTTCCAAGAGCCACTAGCATAATAAAAATACATGCATGTTTTCCAGATCACAGATGAATTCCCTCTTATGTTCCTTAATCCCCTTCTGCCTGGTTGTCTCTATCATTAGAGCCTCAGGGAGGAGCCAAAGGTACTGGGGGGTATTCATCATTTCATGCAGTGAGTTCCTAAAGATTGCATTTCTGTTTTCATATGCCCACTGCATGACAGATCACCCACACTGGTTTAAACTAACAGTACTTGAAAGTAAGTTCTGAGATAATATGCCAAAGATAAGAGTTGGAGTGCTACTGCAAGAGAGTTGAATTTACCTGAGTATTCTATATGCATGTACATTATCTGCTGCTAAATTGAAAGAAGAAGAAAGATATTTATTGCTTTCACCTTATACATGTTAAAATATGCTACGCTTTTTCTAGATGGTAGTTCTAACAACACACCTAGAATAGGGGAATCATCTTAAACAGTAAACAGATTAACAGAGGTACCACCTGTATTTTATTAATTGTTTGCAAAGATTCCAGCCAGAGATCCTACACTCCTGAATAAACTTATACAGCTGAATTGAAACTGCTAAGTCCCAGCATCTTAGCAGCACTGGTATCTTAAATAAGCTGTTTATTAATTGAGGTGGAAAAGTCCATCTCTAGTCAACATCCAAACATGAAAAAAATTGGTTGTAAAATAAAAACAAAATGAAACTTCCCCAGGAATTATAAAGATTGCCTAAAACCGAAGGATTTTACAATATCCTTCTAATTAAGACATTTGCTTATAAAATATCCCTTGTATAACAATGCTTTATGTAAATTCATAATTTATTTTTAAAAACGGCTGTCGATTATTTAACTATCTCTGCAGTCACTAGGGGTCAGTGCAGCCACAGGAGTGGGCTAGAACAACGCCCAGGAGCGAACTTTTAATTAGCGTGAGCTTCATTCCAGCTCTTCAGAGCTTAAGCCTCCCTGCAGTGTTCTGTGATAGCTTTATGTTAAGAGAAAAGGGTGGAGTAGGCTTGTTATGCTTCCTAATTCAGGGGGGCGGTACAACAACCTGTAATTAAAGTTACTAAATGGCTATGGTCAGTCTCTGAGAATACAGGCATGATGTCACCCTACTTCTCCCTGTTCCTACAGGCTTTCCAAAAGGCATTTCTGTTACCTGTTGATCTGGACAGCCCTCAGCACAACTTCTTCTCAGGGAAATAGTCTTTCAAAAGAGGTGTTCATAGACTGAGAGCCTCCTTTAACCTTTAAAGTCTGGAAACCTTTTAGATAATTTTATGTATCTTTTCACGTTATGGTTTTTGGTTTGGTTTTGTTTTTACAGGTGAAGATAATAATAGAAACGTTATTATGATATGAAATATTTGAGACACCCATTATGCGTCAAACACAAGGGAATCCCTCCTGCTTCTTTCCTCTTTTTGAATTACTAAGAAAAAAGTAATTAGGCATAACTAAATATTTAAATGTCTTTCAAAGTTGATATCCTTGTTGTTGCTGTTCCTACATGATGAATTTTTATTAATGGTTTCCACTGTACGGATAAATATGCTGCTTACAGCTTTACAACTCTTTCTGCCCCCCAGGAGAATCTGCAGATCAGATCTTGAAGATTATTCTGCCTTACAGGAGTATGCACCAAGCACAACGTAATCTGACATGACCCATGGTAATTCTATTGATTTCAGCACAACTATTCCTGGTTTTAAACCCAAGTGTATTTTGAGCGATCACAGCAGAGTGACCTCCAAGGTTTTCATTGCAGCACACATTGCAGCCTGCCAAATTGGTATTGCTCTTGGAGATAAATGAAAGCATATAATGCAGCAAGACTTTAATTTTCAAAGCAAAATTTGCAGACTGGGCAAATATAGTAGAGGATTGCAGGAGAAGCAATAAATTATGGAAAAGTGACAACCAGTTGCAAGTTAGATAAAACATGCTTTGAACCAGCTTTTTCAGTTGGTAGGTGCCAATCAAAACCTTTGTTCTTTTGGCATAGGGAGAACCTTATGGTGAAGACAGAAGACATAAATAGCTTGTGCTCAAAAGTACCGTATCATTAACATTAAGAAATCAAATATTTATTTGGGGGGATTATTCATTTTACTCCATTATGTTTACATCTGCAGGTCTTTCTCGTGGGTGAAAGCAGAAGTCAAGAGGAATAGTGCCAGTACAGCTTGGACATGTGAACTGCTGAAACAGACACTAATGTCACTGCCAGCAGTCAAGAGAAGTCTTGAGGTCGTTAAAGAACCAAAACGGAATAGTTTGTGGCTGTATTTTTGTGGCCAGTATAGGGAATTATAACCAAAATATTTTTCAAATTGCTTAAAATTTAATCTTTGGGAGAGGGAGTTTCCCAGTGTTTTCTAAAGTGGCAATCATGTATTCCTTAGTGAAAAAAAAGTACAAAATGGTGCTCTGAGATTCCTGGTATACTAACAGCGAAATTTCCTTCCAGTAAGGCAGCTGCAATGTTTCAAGTCTGGAAACTGGCAGATGCTTAGCATTTCTTACCTTAAGGCCACAGATACCTATTGTTTAAGGCATTAGAAAAACAGCCAGTGTAGCTTGACATGAAGTTGCTGTAGAATAAATAGCCACAAAAGTTGAACTCTCCTGATTTACAAATGTTTTATTTGCCCTAGAGTGCCCTGAGCTATTTTAAAGTGACACACCTCAAGGACTCACAGGAGACTTCCCTCCCCTTATTCCAGCATGATTAATCCAATATTTGATTTACTGGAAAACTGTTTCAAAAGCCATTATTTGAAAATCCTTTGAATAGTATATACACTAATGTTATTTAAAAGTCAAGGAATAGCAGTGGGCAAGATCTACTCTACTACACTAGCAACCACTTTTTATTAGGGTAAATAATTGAAATAAGTTTTAATTTACCAAGTCATGTCATTCATCTCTCAAGAATTTCATACATGACTCTCATCAGAGCTGCTCTAGACAAAACCAATCTCTTAAGTCCCATGTAAGCTCCAGGCAAACAGTAGCAAAGAGGTAATGTTCTGAAAAGCAGGTTTCCTGATTTTTATTTTTTTTAAATGTACACTATTTTGCTGTTGATAGAAGTAGTATTTACCACATTACATGGCTTGTTTCAGTGATCTTGTAACGTAAATTCTTAAACTGTACCTTTTTCTTCTTAGAACCTACAACTGGCAATGCTTAGAATTTGTAGTCACTGCATGTGTAGGATATTTATGCTGATTGAAACTCTACAAGCTCATAAACTATGATTTCTCCAGGCTGATTACCAATCCAGATATACCAATAATCCGTTTCAAGCAGTGACCAAAAGAGGGTGCTTCAGGCAAACTGCAGGCATTTTCAAAGCAGGGAAATGATGAGCAGTACCTGCATTGGAAAGTTTCTTTGTTTAGGAGTCATCTTACGGCTTGAAGTGTGTGATTTTTATTTTCTTTTCAAATATATCTTCCTCCTGTCTAATATAACTGGAATGGTGAATTCCACAGCTTTTTTTCCCCTGTTGTACTTAACATACTCTTTTATAATCAGATTCAGCTTCTTGATTTTGCTTTCCCTTAGATGATGTGTCCTTTTTCTATAAACAACTAACTACACTGAAGACACACAATTGGTATTTTTTTCTGTTAAAAATTATGACATTTCAAAAATGTTATAATTAAATGTTTCATTTTCTACAAGTTGTGTCATCATGTTCCCCCTTCCTAATACCTCCCCAGTAATTTTTGTGAAATAAAAGCGCTTTGCTTTCTCAGTTCTGAGGAATCTTGCGATGTCACTATACCTGTGTTTCCCTGCAAAGTCAGTTTTCCACAGGCTGTTGTCAGAAAACTGTGAAATAGTAAATTTTTTTTTTTATTTAAGGATAAAGTAGGGTGTTCGCCAGGTTTGGAGTAGAAAGTTGTAACTGTGCGTATTAGAGTGCTCTGGAGAAAAGATGCATTCCCAAGCACTCACAAAGGAAGTTTTTCCTGAAACCTTTGCCATCAATAAGTGGACCTCATGAGGATTTGCTACTGTGTCCTTTCACCTGTCCCGCATAGATGATAATTGCACATCACTGTCCCGATGACCATCACCCTCAGTGAAGCGTGAATTCTGTTCCTGCTCATTCATTTCCAGCTTTCTTATAGACGACATTGAAATGCTTGCTGTCTGAAATGCTGGTGACCACTGCAAAGGCCCGATGATAGATGAGGGAATGACAAGCTTACTCAAACAGCTGCCGCATACTTCTGAGAGGACATCTGCTCTCAACTTTCGCAAATCAGGAAGATGGATTAATAAAATCCTCAGAGTCTCTGCAGTTGCTCTGCCTCTTATTGATCAGACATTGTTTCTAGAGAATGAGGCAACATCCAGCTTGTGGGTTAACGTCCTCAGGACAGGAGATGACTAACAATGGATGCTGGAAGCTCTTTGCATGTGGAGGGGCAGAGTGGAGGCCTTCTGCCAAGAGCAGTACCATGACTTTGTCATTGCTTGACAGCATTTCAGGAGCAACTGTTCAAGATGGTGGTTATCACCCTGGATAGCCTGACTGACCCAACCTGACTACTCAGCAACTGGCCATTTTGAGGTAGATAAATACAAATGAAGACAAAAAAAGCTATCATCAAGGTATCTGTAGCCATTCTCTAGCCCCATTCTTATGGATAGTGTTAATGGGAAACATGACTGAGATCATCAAGACAGTTTCTCACTGGGAGTGCCTGAACTGTTTGGATTCTGCAGGTACCATGCTCTTTCAGTCCAGCACCTAAGCCACAGGAGCAGACCTAAACTGTGAGATCTACCACTAAGTTGCTGTTTGGGTTTGAAGGACTATTCATGCAGGGTCACTGTTGTCTTAGAAGGCTTCTTGGGAAAGACACAGTGCTTCATCCTTTGGCGTCCCCTGGATTCTTGTCTGTAGGTGCCTATTCATCTGCCTTTATGAAGAAGAGTATGCTACTTGAACCACAAAGGTTCATATGTGCTCAAGCCATACTCACGAAATCCTGAGAGACTCCACTTGGGGGGAGCTGCCGGATCCAAGCACAGTGCTGTCAGATCCAAGCTCCTTGAGCACTGGAAATCTTGATTTTTAAATTCTTGGCTGCCCCTAGGGTGGCTTTGCCCTGGAGTTTTGAACATAAATAGTCCCTTGTCTTTTGTCTAGGGGGCTCATGACACAGATGTGTCACAGAAAGTTGAGATCGCAGACAGCCAGCTTGGAGAAAATGAGGCATGTTTCTAATGGGAGAAGAGTTCTTGACAGGCAGAAACCTTGACTGCGATTCCCTTGAAATAAGTTTTTAAAATGATACATTCCCACAAAAGCCTTTTGTTTTGACACGTTCACGATTTCTACCCCAATGAAGCAGTTAGAAAATAACCAGCTCTCCCTAGGTTCCATTTAGTGAATGTATTATTCATGGCACCCTAAATAGTACTTCTCAAAACTGAAATGTCCCAGTCATTTCATTCTCCACATAATCAATGTTTTCCCAAGCCTCTCTTCATTTTTGTTGCCTGTCTGTAAGCTCTTTGCCACATCCTTTTTTTTGACGAAGTAATCAGCACAGAACGGTGATTCAGAGGAATCTCTCTCATTGATTTATATGATGGTGTTCACTTCCAGTATCATTTTCAACATTGCTCTGTCTGCATCCTAATATTCTGTTTGCTCTTTTGATTGATGCCATGTATTGAGCAGACACTGTTACTGAGTTGTTCACAGAAGTATTCAAGTCCTTTTTTCCCCTCTGTGGTTGCAAGTAGTTTAGAGCCCTGTAAGGTAATGTAAGGTGCATTAGTAGGTCAGATTATTCTTCCCAGTGTCTGTCACTATCTGAGCCCTGTGAAACAGACGGGAAGTGGTTCTGCAGTCAGGCTTACCCTGAAGGATCACAGCTTGAAATTTGGTCTGGGACTCTGTGAGCACACTGCACCAGAAGACATCTGGGAGAGAAGTGGAAGAAATGCCTTCCCCACAGAGAACTGTCCTGTCCATCACCAAGTGTGCACCCCCTCTTCCTCTCAGAGTTACACACCTGAGTTGCAAGTTACTAGAGGAGCAAATACTAAGAGGAAGACCACATTTCCATAGTTTTCTCAAAGAACTGTGCTTCAGAAGCCTAGAGTTTACTGCAGACTGCCTGTTGTATGAAGAAATTATTTCCTTGTATTACTTTAAAAATCATTTGATACATAACTGGTCAGCGTTATTGTTTAGGATGAGAACTGGCAAGATGAGTTCCTTCATTTAAATTTCTAACCCCAGTTTCATAAAACTGTCTGTGGTGTTTGCTTAAATGTTCTGTTTTTAAGGGACCTGAAGGCTTCCTGAAAAAATAACCTTTTGGCTGCTGTGGAAATACTCTGTGTCTGGAGCTTTTGTTAATTTTTTATTATGTGCTTTCTAGCGCCAGCTATCTGCTGTGAGATAAGCACACCAACCATTTAAATGAATGAATGTTCTAGATTTCGTTTAATTTCATTTTCTACATCTAGTAGACAACTGCTGAGAGATCAGTTTAACCTCTTGGGCTTTTGCACTGTAACAGTTTGATGCTTGTAAAACAAATAACATGGATTAAAGTAGATTTTTTTTCTAACAGCTGTCTTCCAGCAGGTTCTGAGCTCAATCCTTCCTGCCAGTGGATGCTCATAAGAGAAATTTGTCAGCTACTAAAGCACTGAAGTAGGCATGATTCTTTGCATACATTTATAGCTCAATAGCAACACAACTTATATTTTCAATTTACCTTTCAGTTACTTCTTGGAAAAGCACTGTCCAGGAGAGAACCTGCTCATCCTAACTTGCTCAGTCATGTCCTGGACATATGATAAAAGCAAGTGTCGGAAGAAACTCTTCCTCCTAAAAGACGAGCTTTACACATCCTACTGAATAATGCTCTTGCAAAGGGGTATAAGGGATTCCAGTATCTTAAGGGGGCCTACAAAGATGTTGGAGAGGGACTTTTAATAAAAAATTGTAGCGATAGGACTAGGGGTAATGGGTTTAAACTTAAACAAGGAAAGTTCGGATTGGATATAAGGAAGAAGTTCTTTACTGTGAGGGTCATGAGGCACTGGAACTGATTGCCCAAAGAAGTGGTAAATGCTCCAATCCTGGCGGTGTTCAAGGCCCGGTTGGACAGAGCCTTGGGTGACATGATTTAGCGTAAAGTGTCCCTGCCCATGGCAGGAGGGTTGGAACTTGATGATCTTAAGGTCCTTTCCAGCCATAACTATTCTGCGATACTGTGAAATATGGTATAAATGAGTATTATCTCTGAATAATCTTCTAATGTTAATGGTCAACCCACTAAAAAAAACCCCAAACCCCAGTCTTATGAGCTACCAACACTAAAAACTCAACTAGGGCTCCAGAAATATCAAATTGTTGGTTTATTTTTCTTTCCCAAGGGATGACCAATATTTAAAATGAAGAGGAATCAAATTAACTTCTCTATGACACCTGTGCAAACTCCACTCTTCTCACTGATTTATTAGCAGCACCTTGGCAAACATAGGGCCTACAGTCAGGATTGCGGAGGTGTAGCTTAGCAGATTTTAGCAGATAAGCTTCTTGTCGTGGTTTAAACCCAGTCAGCCACACAGTCTCGCTCACATCCCCCTTCCTCCCCCTGCTCCTGAAGGCATGGAGAGGAGAATCAAAAAGAATGTAACTCCCACAGGCTGAGATAAGAGCAGTCCAGTAACTAAGGTATAACACAAACCACTGCTGCTACCACCATAATAATAATGATAAGGGAAATAACAAGGGGAGAGAATACAACCGCTCACCACCTGCCGACTGACACCCAGCCGTACCCCAGCAGTGATCTCCCTTCCGGGTAACTGCCCCTAGTTCTACATCCTGGGCATGATGTCTGTGGTATGGAATATCTCTTTGGCTAGCTTGGGTCAGGTGTCCTGTCTCTGCTTCCTCCTGGCTTCCCCCCTTCCCTGGCAGAGCATGAGACTCACAAAGTCCTTGGTCAGACTAAACATGACTGAGCAGGAAATGAAAACATTGGTGTTATCAGCACTGTTCCCAGGCTGAAAGTCAAAACCACAGCACTGCACCAGCTACTAAGAAGAAAAAAAATGACTGCTACTGCTGAACCAAGAACACTTGTTAATGAAGCATGAGAAGTGGCGGCATCCTGCTCCGCCTCTCTGCTGTGCTGGGAGGGAGCGCACAACCATTGCTTATTTTGCATAGGTTCTTTTGTAGCTGAATGGAATTTAACTGCAGATGTGTGACAGTGATTGGGTAAATGGTGCCTTCCTTGTAAGGTGACACTTCCCTTATCTTTTTAGGTAAGACAGTGCTTTTCTGCTCCCCTGTTTCTCCTTTCTCACCTGCTCCCAGGATTTTCACTTACAAATGCAGAACAGTTACAGTACTCCCCGGCGCATCAGGAAGGACAGTTGCTTTCGTCCACATCTCAAGAGAAGAGTTTTCTTTGCAGCGTGAGCTGTGAATTAGACAAAAGTAAACTCTAGGTAGGGTAAAAGGCTGCAGCAGTTTACAGTCACTGTCCAAGGCATGATTTGGGGTGTGGAGGTACCCTACAGTCTTGTTTAGGCTAATGGGAAAGAAGTGAGGTCTCAGTGTAACTGCACAAAACCTGTGAGGAGTAAGAAGTGATGAAGATTTAACCTAATTTCTGGAATAAAAAACTGAGGTAGCTATGATAATCAGCATAACTAAAGGGACAGGTGTGGGACGGGTTGAGACAAAGCATGAACCACAGAAGTTATTTAGGAAATGCTGGAGGCAAAATAGCTGAGGAAGACTGATTGTGAGGGAAGAAATTCACTGGATAACTCAAATGGTACACTACCTGACCCTTTGACAACTTCTGCTTCATACAGTACCCAAGCATGAATAGATACTTGGGCTGCCAGGTGGATGTAGCAAAAATGCCTCTGGGAAAGTCCTCATGAGCAGCTGAATCGGAAGCTGGTCAGACATTAAATATGATAAAAGCAGAAGAGCTTTTGAACCTGTTACAGAAGCTGAACGTACCTCCTCTTTCTTAGTACTCTGAATTGCCTTTTCTATTTAGCTTCCCGTCTGTAAGGAATAGGAGCATCCTTCTCTCTGCATACTTATTGTATGGTAGATATCAGTGACCTCTGATTATCAACCCAAATTTACTCCTGTCTACCTAGTATGTGCCACCTGTTTGCACCCAGGGGTTTATTAACACATTTAGATTATATTCTAAGTGCTCTGGTTATAATACTGAACTTAATAATATTGAATATAATATTGTTATGATATTGTTATAATTATCTTGAATAATGTTTGAGACTTGCTGCCCTAACAGAGTTTATGAAACTTTAATTAACTTTGATTAAATAGGGAGGAAAAACATTGAAAATGGGAGGAGGGAAAATCTAACATAAAACCAAGAAAGTAATTGAAAATATGTGCATGATTGAGATGTACAAGACAAGTACTAACAAGTGAGGGAGCTGAAGGAGAACAAGTCAAGAGGATGAGGAAAAATCACTTTGTGAATTTGATGCGAATAGGTGTGATTTTGTGGCCATTCAGTGTGGACGGGATGCTTACAACTACAGCTCATAGCCTGCAAGTGGCTTTTATATGTTACAAAGTTTAAAGTCGGCAAAGCAAAACAAACAAACAAACAAACCAAACAGATAACAACCTGCGGTTTTCAAAGAGCTTTTCCTGGAAATGTGTCTTGAGATTGAGGACTTGCGCGGGTTCTTTGATACTTAATATCAACTGAGTACTTACTGTAACTTGGGAAGGAGGAAGCAGAATTAAGCAAAGGAGGTTGGTTTGATTTGTTTTTTCCCCTTGCAGCTGGCCACCTACTTTATAACAGCGTTTATGGGAACTTTGATATTTTGTTACACTCTTGTTCTTCTTTTGTTCTATAAGTTTCTTGGCAGTCAAAACATTATTTTGCACAAGATGGAAGTAAAAATAGGAAAATATGATGCTAATGTAGCCATTTCTTTTTGGAGCTGGTTTCTTTCTGAAAGAAGATTAAAAACTAGAACAAATCATAGAATGTAGCTATAAAATAAAACAGAAGGTATTGTGGATTTATACTTCTGGGTCTTCAAATTAAAATAAATACCGCCATTATAATTGTTTCATTTGAGCTGCTAAGTAGTGATCAAAGCCTTACTCTTTTCTATCCTCTCCCCTTGATACTCTGTACTGAAGTAGAGAAAACAATGCTATTGTACTTTACCCAACTT